TCCAAACTTGTTTTCAATAATCAGGCACTCATTTTGGCAGACACTTCTGATGGTAATCCATTCTATATTCTTAGTCAAATAAATTTTTTGGCATTATAAATCCAATATCATTTACCGTTATCAATTATTATCAGAAAAAGTGCCTAAGCGTACCTAAGTACTCGTGCACTTTGGACAAAATACATACAGTGGTGGAAAAATAAATAGGGAAACGACAGCGGTCGCCCCTCGGCAGCAATGGCAAACCTTCGTTTGTATTTCTGCCGTGAAAAACATAGGCTTTAACGGTCCGCTTTTGAACGGTTGAAAATGATTTATTACCCCAACTTGCGACAAAAAGTAATAGAACCATTTATTTGCGTGACGCCACGTTCGGAACTGTTTAATCATATCTGAATTGGTCACTCTAAAACTTGTTTAGTAGAGCACCTTATAAGATATATGTAAACGTTTTTGTTATTACCCATACTTTCATATATATATATATATTTTTCTAGCCCGAGGAAACACGTCAGGATCCAAAACTTTTGCAACTCATTAATTTGACGGCGGTGGCCATAAAACGTTTGATAAAAATGGCTAAAAAGATAAGCGTTTTTCGGGAAATGTGTCAGGAAGATCAAGTAGCACTACTGAAAGGTGGCTGCACTGAAATGATGATTATGCGCGCTGTGATTACCTATGACAATAATCGTAATACATGGAAGGTAGAAGCTACACCAATCACATTTTATTCGGACCAATTTATTATACTTAAATTTTACAGCTGCCGCATATTTCAAATTCAGCACATGTGCATGCAGAGATTCTAAAGCAAGCTAAGGGCAATTTATATGAAGAAATTATGAAATTTTTTAGTACCTTTGACGAGAAATGGCGCATTGATGAGAATATAATTTTAATAATGTGCGCAATTGTGCTCTTTACACCAACGCGTGCACGTATAATTCACTCTGACGTTATTCGATTGGAACAGGTAGATGAGAGAGATTTAGATCTTTTATATTTTTTATACAACTATTTTCCTCTTTCAGAATTCATATTATTATCTACTACGAAGATATCTAGAGAGCGTATATCCTGGCTGTGAGGCAAAATCAGCATTTATCAAGTTAATACAAAAAATTTCGGATGTTGAGCGTCTGAATCAACTTATTATTAACGTTTATTTAAATGTCAATCCAGCTGAAGTGGAGCCCTTACTACGGGAAATTTTTGATTTGAAGAATCCTTAGAAGCCCAATAAAAGTATTGTTGAGTTTATAAAACAATGTAAGTGACAGCAATACCAGTTAGATATACATATACGCTTAAAAGCATCTATAACTATTATTTGTTATCAAAGAGGAGCCCCTCGGGAAGGCCATTTTACGTTGTAAAAAAGCCAATGTGTATAGTTCTAAGTTTTGGTAATAATACGAATTGTTGAATGTAACGCGCAAGCATCTATATACATACATAAATATTACCTGCCCTGTAACGTTTTAAACGTAGTAATAGTATGGTCAAATCGAGTACATGTGATAAATGTACAACACTAATTAATAGTTGTTAAAATATAAAGTTATGTTATATTTTAAATTATTCAAGTATAAATGAGAATGTTATATATTCAATACCAATTTAAGCAAACATAAAGCATCACCTTTTCATTGTTAAAAGCAACACAAATTAATAGTTTAAAATGTGCAATCAATAAAATCAATATTAAACCTATATATGCTA